GAAGATAATTCGTGCCCAGAAAACTCAATAACTCCATTACTGTTCAATGATGAAATAGGCAAGAAGTTTCAATCATGAACTCCCAACCTGTGCCCAATATCTCAATTCACATTTTCCTCACCTATCTTAAAAGCTGCTATGATAACGCGCGCTTGAAAATCCTACTTAACTTCTAATGAGCCACCCTGATGAACATCTCTACGTAGGCATGGCCGTGTATATGTTGTAGTTCAGTTTTATCCTTGGTTCAAATGTTATTTTCCTTTGTTTCAAACTCATTATCCTACATTAACATGACCGAGAACAAAGGGAAATAAAATTTGAACCAAGGATAAAATTGAACTACAACATATACATAACACGACGTGTGCAGTTCACTTCAGTTGGTAAGTTCCCGTCCAGCTTAGCCGAGCTCTCTCTCTCCGATTGAGATACACTGTACATCTTTCGAAGCTTAACAAAAGTAGATATTTGCATAAGAAAACAATGACTTTTTAGCTCTGTGAATAGACGAAAATAGCTTTGGAGTTGACAATATGTTATTCCTAAACGCGGGAGGATTTATGGCCCTAGCAAGGAATCTGAGCTTTCTTACTCTTCTTTAAAATAGTACGAAATATTTGAGTGTTGTTGAATTGATTATTTTGTCTTAACATCTTAAAGTTTTCAACACGAAGCTACAAATTCTCGTCGTAAATTCTAGCAAAATATGATTCAAGCATGCTAAATGCACTACGTAGGTGTTGTAAATGCCGGAAATTCGTTCGGTTTTCGCTTCCAAGCAAAAAATTTAGCACTTCTTCGAAAAAAGTATTGGTCTTGGAATATCTCTTGGCCTCACCTCATTTAACTCTTATGCTACCCACGTGCTCTACTAACTTCATGCTGCGGTACATCCATTTTACCATTTGCACGCGCCAAGCACGAAAAAATTCTTAATTTTACTTTGTGATCTTTATTTTGCTTTTGTCCTGTTTTGTTGCTCTCATTGTCTATATCAATTAAACTTGGTTTAGGTAAAACGTGTCCATGGTGAATTAATATCCGAAAAATCCTCCGAAACCGCTATTGAAGATTAAAATCTTCCCTGCGCTTCATTGTGCATCAATCTCAATTGAATTATGAAAATGCACTAATAAAGAGTTGTGAAATACAACTAATTTCAATATGTTCATGGTTAGACATCCATGTCGTCTTTCTCTTAGCCACCTGTCAAGTCAGAAGTTTTCATGTTCCCGCTCATTCGTGGCCAGTATTCCTTTTGCATTATTGGAAACATAATTGCTCTGCCTGCAATTCAACAACTTTCTCGCTGTTGTTATTAGCTTTGAAAAAACTTACTCAGTAGGCTTCCAAAATTGCGTAATACATAACACAGGAAGGTTGGTATGACGGAGATAATTTGCCTCGAATGCCGAGTTCTAAAGATTACACGACACTCGCTTT